TTAAAGAATTAAACTGTTATAATTTGGAGATCAACACAGGACCACATCCAGTTGGTGGAGACGTAGAATATAGCTAGAAAGCAGGATGATAGATAAGATTAAGGTTATTCAGAGCCAGTGCTCTCTAAACAATCTGTTTACTCACTGTCAAGTGCTCTCTCCTCATTTTAAATAGTCCATTAATTGTATATGTCTAACTTTACTGTTTTCATCATAAGAAGAACTGTAGGGTTCCCTATGATATATATATATTTACAAGACAGGATATTCTTCGGCTACAAATGATTAGACATGTATCTTACACACCTCAGTTGTGCATGGTACACCTCAATTACAGAAAAATGAAGATGAAATTGCACCAGTATAACTCTTACACCTTATGTTTGAGAAATTAATCTTTAAAGGTAGAATATACAATATATTGACACCCAAGTAATCTGGAAACTGGTGAATGTCCAATATAAAATGAATTCCAGCGTCTTCTTTTTGTACAGCCCTTCTGGTGCCCTGTGTATGTGCTGAGGCCAAACAAAGCATGGAATTTTACTCTGCAAGCCTTCAAATTTATCTCTGTACAGGGAAGTTCTTACCTTTGTTGACTGGTTCACAGCTCTGCACTTCATGGTGACTGGTACACCGCCATCTATGAGGCACACACAAATTTTGCTGACGAATCAATATGACTGTTGGTCAATAGCATTTGGAACGAAGTAGCAACAAATCGCAGATCACAGGAGGTGTTGAAAATGATCTCCCCGTTAATCACAGATCGATCTCACCTTCAATGACAGACTGCAGAAACCAATTGCAAAAAAGAACCCTGCTATCTGGATCATGCAGCTGCAAGGTGTGGATTACTGTTGTTTTACAGTGTCTAAGCTTCAGAAATTTTGTTGCCCTTCTTGCACTAGACTCTGACACTACAGTCTCTTAAGCTAGATATTTTTAGTGATTTTCTAGGTGTATGATAAAGTCTGGCTCCTATGTTATCTAACTTTTCCTCAGTAAGCACTTGGCACATATATATTATTGTTTCTTGTCTATTAAGCGTCCCGTTGATCTAAGTTTGTTCACCAAATTGTAAATTGTTTGACTGCTGGTAACTCTTTTTCATCATGAAATTTACATTGAAATTTTCATCAACATTTTCTAGGAGATCCGTATTTCATGCAGGTGTCATACAGCAATACATGTTGCTCTAAAGAATACTTCACCACGACAGAATACACTGCTGATGAATTTTAACTGAGAACAAACAGCTAATGGAGTTGATACTGCCACCCACTACTTACAAACCATAAAAAAATTCCAATGCATGAACCTCACTACTCACTGTGAAATATAATGCTGCCAAGCAGTTAACAAAGTTAATAACTTTCCTTAATTCCAAATGTTATTGGCCATCAGACATACTGATTCATCAGAAAAATTCAGATGTGCCTCATAGCCAGCTGTCCACCAGTCACCATAAAGTACTGAGCTGTGAATTGGTCAAGAAAGGTAAGAACCTTCCTGTACATTGGACAAAAGATGCAAAACCTAAGGACAAAACTATATCATCAGCTTCAAGACGTGGACCTTCAGGTCTGTTCTGTAACAACTATCCTTCCATCTCTTTCTAGGCCTTTCCATGTCCCTTCTCCCTACTGATTTATGGTACAGGATGACAAAATCATTTACACATTATAATCGTATATAAAATAGTATGTGTCAATAATACTAAATATGGCAATGGTATGAAACATTGAGGTTACATCCAACAATTTCAATGTGGACAGAGTCTATACTTCTTCTCAAAAATAAAATACAATAACAATAATAATAGTAACTTGTAGGATTAAAACCTTATGCAATAGGACAGTAGATGTGAGATCTGCTCAGAACTTCTTATTTGTATACTACTTTTTATCATGCTTTTAGCATTACATAACATTTGCATGTTCTTCACCTTCAAAATGCCTATTAATTTATGGATTAATCTGAATAAAAGAAAACAAAAATGTGCATTGAAGCTAGAGTCTAGACATCTCTCAGCAGACAGAGAACCAACATGTAAACACGGGAAGCGATAGTTTGTGAGAACATCTTACATCAGGGTTTTCCTATGACAAGTGTCATTTAACACACTATTAATCTGAGAATACTAACACAAGGAAATATGTATGTGTGTACATATGTAACATTAACATGTACGTCCATCTGTAATGTTCACACCCACTGTTGCTTCAATGAACTGAGAAGACACATAATTATGACTATATTTCTGGCAGAACAGATTATGCATGTAACATACTTTTAATTCACTTCATAAACACATCCTGTTTTTGGGAAATGTTTGCATCCCTATGGAGCACTTACTAAAACTGCTATGACCTTCTGTCTGTACACATGAACTAACTTGAGAACTCCTGAGCAAATCTTCATGAAATCTGGTACTGGGGAGTTCAAAATTTGTGACCTATTAAAATGTTTGTTAAAAAATCAGACAACAATAATAGGCATTTCACACGAATGTCTACACATATTAACTCCTACACCTTCACTTAATTCATGTCTAAATAACTAAAAATTTACAACAGCACAAAATGTTTCGACGAAAAATGAAATACATATTTTATGGTCAATACATCTTTCTGTAAGTCTTGTGGTTCCTGTGATAATTAAATGACAGTGAGTGAATGCACCAGAACTGTTATATACTTAATTAACATGAATCCAATACACGTACTGGCACTACATAAATCCAACAGACATTTAACAAGCAACAACAAGAAGTATTAACCAGATGATAAAATAAAAAGGAGTTTTTTATTGCAAAATTTAAATATTTACAATTTTAACTTATTTTATTATTATGATTGTATAAATTAGTACACCAAGAGCCTTAACAATTTTAAAGCAAGTTCCTTTTACTGTTGAGCCTCTTACAATTACCCTGAAAGGCTGAAACATATATAAGGCTAACTGCAACCAGTCTGATATGTACTCAGGTTGCATCACTATTAATGAGGTGAAAATCTGGAATAACAAATGTGACCTACATGTGCATTAATATAAGATAAATTTTAAGTAAATTAACCATTTGAGGTAGAGCAATTTACCAACTTAACAGAGAAGCTTTTCTCAATGTTTAACCAATATTTATTATCAATAAGAGAAATCGGGATTTATTCACAAAGGAAAGCCTTCTTAAAATTAAGGTAACAAGCAGTTATCTGAAACTGAATAACCTAATTTAACAATTCATTCAAATTAAATAAGTGGATAGCACTCCTACATTACATTTGGTAGGTCCTTGGTCCTTGGCTCAGAAATCAGTCTGCATGTCTGAAGTTTTCCTTACTCTCTCCAGGAAAACTGCAAAAATCTTACCTCAAATTTGGCCCGAACTACTTCCTCCCGCATCCTTTCCAAGAAGTTATTCACTAATAATTCTATGTGTGATACTGAGAAGAGTCGTTAAGTGAACCATAAATAAATAAATATAACATACAATGGGCAAGGCAGATAATTCGTTGCTCAATATAATTTCTTACCTTCCCAGGATATGAATATCTTTTATGAATAATTACCTCTTTCCTTTCCAATCTAATGTCCCTTCGAACTTATTTAGAAGATTATTTGGTGTTTCACAAACAATCTCCCCATTGAAGGCCCCTATTAACGAGTCATCCTGACTCATTTCTGCTGTCTCCACGAGGCACTGGCGGCATTTCAAGTTTGTCTCCCTGTAATTTAAGATATAATAATAAATACTGGTGGGAACGTTGGATATTTTACATAAATGATTATAACACTACAGGTTCAAATCCTGACTTCATATTACAATGGTTCACCAGTCAGATGTAATCATGAAAATTATCTTTCTCTTGATTTAATCAATAAGTATGGTACTACTGCTTACATGTCATTTAATGCCATATGCAACTCTATCATTCAGACAAGGAACAAGAATGTAATTCAAGGAACACACATTATCCCACGGAAGTGATGCATTATTTTTATGAAGTTTGCAGGAATGTGATCTCCACCGGGGATGACTGTCACTGCAATCACAATTATCAAGCAGGCCCAAGAATGCCGTAATGAAGCTTCTACTTGAAGAAAGCAGTCTTCTGGGATTTGGCACCGTGTATATGTGGTGTTAAATATAATATTGTTAACCGACGTTTCGGAGGAACGTATCGCCTCCATCTTCAGGGTTGAAGAAGTATAGGTAAATCTGCAAGCGACAACACTGTGAGACACGGTCAAGCAGACTAAAGAACATACCGTTGAGCAGAGAGGGAAGGGGATGAACTGCAAGTAAACAAGTGAAAGCGGTGGTGTGGGAGGGGTGGGGGAAGGGAGCCGGGACAAGCGTGATTTTGTGTAGGGGAGAGTGTAGCAAGGTTAAATGGCTGGGCTTTAACTGTGAGCTGAGGGTGGGGGGTTGTTATGTTGGTTGGTCATGGCCTTGTGGCTTCCTGGATCTGGCGTCATATCCCGGTGGGTGTTTTTAAGAGAACAGATAAGGGGTTTCCAAGACTTGCTGAGACGAAACCCATCCTCTCTGTTCATATTCCCTGGATGCAGTTCGATCTCAATGGCTTCCCTAATGATGCGATCCATATAGCGCGTCTTGGTGGCGAGGATGGAGGTATTCTGAAGCTGAATGCGGTGTCCCAGTTCGATGCTGTGTTCAGCTACGGCCGACTTGTCCGGATGTTCGAGACGGATGTGCCGCTGATGCTCCTTCAACCTCGTGTCCACGGAGCGGCCTGTCTGCCCAATATAGACTTTCCCGCACTCGCATGGGATACTGTATACGCCCGGTGTCCTTAGGCCCAGGCTGTCTTTAACCGGCCGGAGGAAACTGGATAATTTGTATGGAGGCAGACCTACTGCTTTGATGTTGTGCCGGGACAGCACTCTGCTGATACGGTTGAATATGGTCCCGACATAGGGAAGGAAGGCGACTGAGCCCGGTTTGTCTTCAGGCCGGCTGATGTTGGGCCGACGGTTGAGAACTCTGTGGATCTGCCGGTTGTTGTATCCGTTCTTCTTGAATACATCCTTCAGGAGCAGCAACTCCGCATGTAGGCTGTCTTGATCACACAGTGCTCTGGCCCTGTGCACCAATGTAGAAAGTGCAGCTTGCTTGTTGGAAGGGTGGTGGTGGGACGCAGCGTTAAGGTACAGGTTAGTATGGGTGGATTTGCGGTACACTCTATGGCCCAGGGAACCGTCGGGTCTCCTGTAAATATCTATATCCAGGAAGGGGAGGTGGCCTTCAGTTTCAGTTTCCATAGTGAACTGGATGCACTGGTTGATACTATTTATGTGGTTCAGGAAGTCCTGGAGCTTGTCGGGACCGTGTGACCAGATGACGAAGGTGTCATCCACGTAGCGAAACCAGCAGCGGGGCTTGTGTGGGGCCAAGTCAAGTGCCCTCTCCTCGAAGTCCTCCATATAGAGGTTAGAGATGACCGGTATGTTCTTTAGTCTGCTTGACCGTGTCTCACGGTGTTGTCGCTTGCAGATTTACCTATACTTCTTCAACCCTGAAGATGGAGGCGATACGTTCCTCCGAAACGTCGGTTAACACCACATATACATGGTGCCAAATCCCAGAAGACTGCTTTCTTCATAGTCACCGCCGTGAAAGCCTCAAATCTTACAAGCTTCTACTTATTTGTTTAGAAATAGAATAATTTCCCTGATAATATCTTAAGAGGTTACTGATAACTCATTTGGACATTATGAAGAATATTAACCTGAGATTACTATTCTGTAGACAGAAGAGCTTGGTAGTTCAGTGAGAAAAGAGAGCAAATTAATGATGACAATGCTATTCTAGTAGTAGGGAATACTTTCAAGAACTTTCATGTACAACAAGACAACCATAAAATTTATTTTCACAATATAACAATTTATTCTAGATAAGCCTGTTCCTGTATTCCAAGCATAAATTATGTGATCAAAGTAAATACGAGAATTATTCCTTAGCTGTAAATGTATATTGCTGGTGAAGCATCAAAGTCTTCATCATATAACTTTGGTGGGTGGTTAATAAATTATTTGGAGAGATAATAAAGGTCACTATAATTAAACACGGATTTCAGAAGGGAAATATACACATCTTTACAACAAAAAATTTCATCAGAGAAGTTAAACTGTTAAATGTTGATTTCACACCACCCCCCACCCTCCTCCTAAAGCAGAGCTATCCCTGCAACAGGCACCAGGGATGTGAGACATCAAGGTTCCGCACTTTTAGACAATCGGCTCACAGATGGCAGCGATATCAGCCACATCTGCTGGCTGCCCTTAACCGTCAGGAAGACTCCAGGTACCTATTTCTGTTAGAGGCCAAGTCGGCCCCAGGGCCATAACACGGCTGAAAGGATTAGGCCATTTCAAAAATCCAATGACCTCATTGGGAATCAAACCCACATGATTTCTACATACATTTTCTGAGAGTACTAAGAAGACAAGAGTACTCAAAGTCACTCTGTACCGTTTAAAACGGGTTGCTGACACAAAGCCCCATTAAACTTTTTGCTCTCCATGCAAAGAAGAGGGGTGAGAACAGAACGAATCTATTATTCTATGCTTGTCTTTCTTGGATCAGTTATTGTAACACGTGCGCACGCATGCATGCGCGCATGATACAATTCATTGCCTACTTAACCAAATGTTATCTTACCCATCCAATTCTGCTGTCTCGATGAAACAGAGTCCATTGGGTTCACTAGTGGAGAGCAACAATACATCAGCTGCCACAAACTGATCATTCTCCATCCGAATGACATCACCAACTTGCACCTCTGCCCACTTCTCTTCCACCAGTCTTCCATCTCGCAATGCTTTAGACCGTCGATTGTTCACTTGCGAGTCACTCATATGACGCTGCTGCAGAGATTAATTAGCTGTTACTTACTTACTTACTCATGGAGCCGAGCCCTTCTGGAGGAGCCGCCAATTCTGCAGCTACTCAAGAATTTCCCCGCATTTTATGCAACCCAAAGGTTCATTACCGTGTTCACAAGAGCCCTTCACTGGTCCCTATCCTGAGCCAGATCAATCCAATCAATACCATCCCATCCTATCTCTCTAAGCTCCAGTTTAATATTTATTTAATATTTTAATATTAATCTGTTACTAAACAACCCAACTCATAATTCTATCACATACAGACAACATTAATTCATTACATGTACACATATATATGAAGAACAAAGGAGTTCGTTTTCAAATTAATAAATAATTGGTCTCAGTACGTCAACACATATCAAAATGAGCATCTGCAACAAAGTCATGTCATAACAATATAAATTAAACTGTTAAACAATGAGTTCTGGTTAAATTCATAAAACTTACATTTACAGATCAAAGGCTTCCAATGTTAATGACATACACATATTTACATAATGCCAACTTATAATCCAACAACAAATGCAACTCTGCAGATGCCGGATGCAGACAGAGATGATCACATGCTCTGATTCAAGTCGAATAAGTATTGCACCCAATATGGCAGTTTGACATGTCATTTTCATGGAAACTAAAAGCAGAACTAATCTAAGTTTATTATGAATAAAGTCCGAAGATGGCTGCAATAAACAGCGGTGTTTCAGCGAGTATTATAGTTTGGCTCTGCCAAATAAAGACGCCTCCAAGACAACGACAATAGGACTCTTTACGATTGGACCAAGAAGTTATTCATCTCTCCCTATTGCACAGAAAGGAGTTAGAACTAGATCACTCTTCGTTTTACTATTTTCTCCTCATGTAACAACATATGATGCTTAAATTCTTTAAAAGAGCAGTTACAGATTGCTTCCATCATATGCTAACTCCATGCAGCTTAGTCCTTGAGACGCTGTCAGTTGTTCACCTATTCAAGAATTTCCCCCATCATCATATGGGGCCAGAACGTTGATTACGGTGTTCAAAAGTGCCTCCAATGGTCTTTATTTTGAGCCAGATTAATCCAGTACATACCACCCCATCATATCTCCAAAATTCATTTCAATACTATCCTCCTACCTATGTCTAGCTCTCCCTAGTGGTCTTTTCCTTCTGGCTTTCCCACCAAAATCACATATGCATCCTTCTTCTCCCCCATGCATGGTACATGCCTTGGCCATCTCATCCTCCCCTGAATTGATCATTCTAATTATACTTGGTGAAGAGTACAAATTATGAAGCTTTTCATTCAGCAGTTTTCTCCAACCTCCTGTCACTTCACCTCTTTGGTCCAAATATTCTGCTTAGCACCCTGTTCTCAGTCACCTTCTGTCTATGTTCTTCCCTTAATGCCAGAAACCAAGTCTGACACCCATACAAAACCACAATCAAAATTATACTATTGTACATTCTAACTTTTGTGTCTTTAGACAGAAGGTGAAAAGACAAAAGGTTCTAGACTGAATCGTAACAAGCATTACTCAAATTCAATCTCCTCTTAATTTCCTACTGAATTACATTTTGATTTGTTACTGCCTTTCCCAAATATGTGAACTGTGCCACAATTTCAAAGGGTCTATTAGCTACCTTTACGTCATGATTTTGCCCTGCATACTGGTAACAAGAAATCAACATACACTTACTTTTCTCTGCATTTACTCCTAGATCAACCTCCTTACTAGTGTCAGTTAAAAGTTTCTGTGTTTTTCTTTATGTTAGCTATGCTATCTCCCAGTAGATTCACATCAGCAGCTGATGTGTCCCATTTAATTCTAGTCACACCCAGTTTTCCTGGACCTTCCTAATGGCATATTCTAAAGAAGAGGTAAAAAGCAGTAACAATAGATCATCTCCTTGTTTTAGACCACTTTGAATAGGTAAGGTATTAGATAAATGTTTACTTATATGAACTTTACTACAGGTTTCGTTTAAACACATTTTAATCAGCCTAACTAGTTTCACCAGTCAGAATTACTGGGTTTTGGACTTTTTCCATCGTTACCTTATTTTGTCTTTCATCTTTGTTTATGTGTGTTTGTTTGTTTGTTTCCATTCTTTCTGGTGTTTATTTTATAACTGGACTTGGACTGTTGATTAAGCATGTAAAAAAAATAAATAATTGAACTGAATTATTATGCACATTCTATCAAGCTGCCTTTCTGGAACTGTTAAAGTCCATGGCAAGCACAGTCCCTGAAAATCCATAGCATTCCTCGAGAGTTATAGTACGAGGGTTGGAACTTTAATACTGGCAACTATTTATTTACAACTGATACAAAACAGATGCATGTTTTGAAGTTTACTGTCCTTCAATGTAGGCACCAGCATTGTGTACAACCCGCTGCCAGCGATGTGGAAGTCGTAGGATACCTTTAGCAGTGCCTGTTGTGTTGATAGTTCGAATGGAGCAGTCTACTGCCTGAAGAATCTCTGAAACAATTCTGAAGCGAATGCCACGAAGTGGTTCCTTCATCTTAGGAATCAAGTCAAAGGCACAAGGGCTAAAGTCCGTGGAGTATGGTGGATGGTACAGCACTTCCCAGCCCCACTGATCGAACAAATCAGCCAAGCTTGCCATTTCTGCATTTCTGTCAAATCATGTGGAACCCATCATGATGCAATTTTTCTCATGTCCAGGCATTCCTTCAGAATGTCAAGCACAGTCGTATGCGCTAATCCTGTCTCTCGGGCCGGCTCATGAATCGTATGGGGTCGATCACTCTCCAGTAATGCAGAAAGAGCATACACTTTTTCACTGACATTAGGATGAGCTGGCCAACACATGTCTGCCACATTTTGGTGTCCCTCGTTGAAGGCTTTTACCCACCTTGCCATTGTTCTGTAAGGCAATGCAGATTCCCCGCAAGCCTCTTGAAGACCCTGATGACACTATCGTGCTGTATGGCCTCTGGAACATTCAATCTTTATCCAACTCCATTGTTCCTGTTTCAAAAACATCGTGACAACACTACATTAGACCACCAGCTAACACGAGGCTCTGTTCTTCTCGTCACTGCACATGCGCCTGATGTGTGGAAGGGAAAGTCCATTTGCTCTGAGGTAAGGTAGGTATGTACGAGTAACTAACGTGTGGTATAAGCAACAGTATTTGGTTCTGTTGCATGGCATTTCTACAGCAGTGTTGCCACTATTAAAGTTCCAACCCTCATAAATAAGAGCGGATCATCACACAAGAGTAATCAGTGGATGGTGTTCCTACAGATGGAAACTGTCAAACTTTCCAATTGAATATTCAGTGGGCTTTCAATAGTTCTCTTTAGTACTTGCTATCAACTGGTTGTTAATTGTCACTTACAAAATCATCGTAGGCATCTTTTACTGCAGTGAGTGCCAGCACACCAATGAGAGGCACAGCAGTGGTGATTGGGGTTAGAGAACTGATGGCTGGGATCACCTGCAGCACCAACAAGCACAGGAAGTAGAAGTTGGCAAGGCGTTGGAACTGCTCAAACAGGTTCAGTGGCAGGAACGTCAGCACACTGTATTTGGACGTCTTGATGTAGTTGCTCTGTAAATATAAACAGAGGGTTAATTTCACAGTCATGGAATTCAGAAGAGCACTAGAAATGATGTGAAAATGTGAAGGCAATGATAGTGACAATTATTTGGCCACAAAGTCCCCAACAACGCTGATATACACTTACTAGATTACACAGTGCCACAAAACACAATATTCATACTATATACATTCCTAGGTCTTCAATCGAGATTCTTATACGATGAGACACTTGTGAGGAAACTGACAAAGCTTGCAAATAACATGACAAGACAATGGATAATGTCCAAAAACATAATATTTGACAAAGCTTGATTTGAATTTCAAATACAACTGGGGTATATGTAACTGATAAGAATCAAACTTAATTTGACTGTCAATTTTTGGTGTCATCCCCAATAATAGAATCTCATCAAAATCGGTTCAGAAGGCTTGGAGATGAAACATGCAGATGACATACCTCCCCGTTATGCGTGCACTTTACGTATGGAGTGCATAAAAATGGAAACAATGAGTCCCCTTCTTTCAGATTATGATGAATACAAAAAAGAAGTATCAGACAAATGTTTTCCAGCATAAACTAACTACAGGTTTTGTCAAAACACATTTATTTAGTTTTATGCTCTATATTCAAATAGAAAAAAGATGACAGAATTATGTTCCGAAACGCTGCACTTCTTTCTTATCACGAGAATGGGGGTAAAAAATACTATCATACAATAAAAATTCTGTCCTTTATGGAGCCCGAAGGTTTAGTACTGTATGCACAACAGAGAGCCACTGGTCCATATCCTGAACCAGACGAATTCAGTCTATACATTCACATGTTATTCCTCTGAAATCCATTTTAATATTGTGACATGTATACCCAATTGTAGGCAACTCCCAAAATACGCGCACGCAATAATAGACAAGGTATTTCAAGAAGCGTTTTCTATATGGCCAGCGCCACAATAGAAATCAGTCGCAGAACAAGAATGAAATTGGAGGGAGTCCTTGGCTGTCAAGGAAGAAGGGTTTGGTTGAAGATTGACTGTGAGTTATTGTAACTGACTGTGATTACGAGAGATTGTACAAGGAGGCAGTGGCGTGCCGTGCAAGGAAGCAAGGGAAGAATTGCTTCCGTAGTTAAGAAACGAAAAGAAAAGAAGAAATACATAAATAATTCAATTCAATAATAAGGATTTGAATATTGTCATTTACCGCGCGTTCCTGCTCAAGGTCACATGCCTCCTCCTTCCTTCCCTTGCTTGGTGTGACGGACCAAGTTTTCTTCGTTATTCTCCGTAAGAATTCGTCGCACATGAAGTGGGCAAGGTAGCAAACTTGCGGTTTGCTGGCTTATGCCTGTGACATGGAAGCGAAGGCCTGTGTTCTTTCAATGGTTATGTGAAAATTAACTGTTTATGCGTGATTTCAGTCTTGTTGGGTGTTATAGGTAACCTTAAGTTTTATTAAAACATTGTAAGTGTATATTTAGATGGCGTAAGATTGTATTTGTGATCGTATTTGGACGCATCAGAAAGAAGCCATCTGCGTTTAAGGGAAACAAATGCACTACTGCAGTTCAGGGGCAGGGGCATGATTAGACTATACGCACAGGGAACAGCTAAAATTAATGCTGGCAGACAACGCGACTGCGACTGTGCAATCGAAAGCCTTTTAAAACGGGGGTTTAATAGCAGGGACTTTTCTGAAAAGAACAATTATAGAAAGACATTGACATGCGAGTTGCCAGAACTTAAAGCACAAAGCAAATTATGTGTGAGGAAATTTCATTTGGAACAGTATTCTAAAACAGAGTGGCTATCCGGTTGCGGTAATATAGGAAAATTGTTTTGTTGGCTATACCTATTGTTTCTCAATGAAAAAAATGTATGGCACAAGACTGGGTTTGGTGATATCAACAACCTTTATATAGCACTGAAACGACATGAGAACTCTCAGACTCACATTATTTCAACAGTGCAACTTGTTATGTTCCGGGAAATCTCGAATTGACTGTCAACTTGACAATCAAAAGCGCCTGACGATACTACATAGAGAAATAATGAAACGCTAGATTGATGTCATCTGCCATTTAGGAAAGTGGCAACTTGGCCTCCGTGGTCATGACGAAAGCGTGGATTCTATCGACCGAGGTAATTATGTGGAATTAGTTCACTTGTTGAGGAAATATGATCATAAACTCAACGTTCACCTTGAGAACAGTACAGTATTTACAGGTTTATCGAACAGAATACAAAACGACCTTATTAACTCAATAAGTGACGTAAATTTTGGTGAGTTGATTGCTATCAGTTCGTTTGTTAGATACCACTGCTTCCCTTACCAAAAATAGTACCGCACGCCACTGCAAGGAGGTGTTAATAAATCGAATCATCCACTCCAAATCCAGTTATTATTAGTCATGCAGCCATATATTCGTGACAATATTACCCTCCACGTGCAGGAATGGATTCCAACCACTGCAGTGGCAGTCCTTCCTACACTTTCACACAGTGGCGCTTCTAACAGGTTGGCCTCGTGTTAAGGCGGCTGACTTGAAATCAGAGTTTAGCTCACTGGTATTATAGCCATGGGCTCCGAATATCCTGATGTTCTTTTGCGAGTGTTCTCAGTCCTTCCAAACAAATGCCAACACACTGAAATGTGTAACATACCATGACTGTTACCTCTCCATTCTCCAACCACAGTGACAAAACCAGCGCTGAATCCCAGAGCAAAACACATATCCACTGCTGGGAACTCGTACAAAACCGATCCCTGACTGCTGAAATGTAATTCCATGGATAATGGCAATTGAATCTGAGGCACAGCCACAACCGCTGTCTCGTAAGCACACACGTCGTCAGAGACGACGTGTGGATATATTCAAAGTGGATATATCCGGAGGGCAGATGGGCAATGGAATTTTGTTGCGGCCAGGCAATTCTGACACTTCGCTTGGCTGTAGCACAACTATCCAGCGGATATTTTATAACGTTCATATGAAACTTTCTGAGTTGTCTTATCAACTGAAATGAATTGTTTCTTGCTATTTTGTGAAGTTTTCTTTTTTACCGATGTTTGTAACTCGGTGAACTGTAACTCTTCTGTGAGCAACCCACTGGATAAGTATGTCCCCTCAACGGCATGGGTGTAACCCACTATCTCAGAAACGCTCAGAAGCCTGGATGTTCAAATCTTGTAGTTCATCCTAGGTGGAGTTCTTTCTCTAAGTATAATTTTATGTGGAATCGTTCAGATGACAGAGAAGAATGCAACGGCACGTCAAAACTTGAATCCCATTCCTGCAATCCATAACGTCGATGTAAGAAAGGTGAAGGTAAGGTAAAGTTATCCCTGTGCTTAACTAATTAAGCACTACACCATGAAGGCTTATGGGTGAATTTATGTATAGATCCACATACATACCCATTGGATAGGTGGTTGGGTGCACCCCTGAGCCGGTCTGGACGACATGGAGAGAAAAATTTTCACACTACCAGGACTCGAACTCCGACGTTTCGGTCGTCCAGCCCGGCTCTTTGTTGATGTCATTATGATTTAAAATAAATACACTTATACAAGACTGACTGATTAACTGCATGGAGGTGAGTCTTTCTTGAGCAGCCAACAGTTGCTCAGCCACTCAAGAAATTCCCAGCTTTCTATGGAACCAAAAAGCTCATTACAGTATTCATAAGGGAGCCACCACTGGTCTCCATTCTCGAGTCAGATGAACCCAGTCTACACCCCGTTCTATGTATTTCTCTAAGATCCATTTCAATACGGTCCTCACACCTGTGTCTAGGACTTCTTAGCGGTCTCTTTCGCTGAGATATTATCACCAAAAACCTGTATGCACTCCTCTTCTCTTAAATTGTCTCATGAATGAAATTCTGTACTGTCGTTCCCAAATCATACACTTTCAAACAACACACCAAGCAAAATCTACACTCGAAAGTCCTGAAAAAATAGAACATTTCTGTCTCTACAATATGACAAGCGGGAAAACTGAAAAAGTATAAAACTTTTGTTCGAGTCGGAAAAGCGGTAAATAATTTAAAGTTAGGACATATGTTCAGGGTACTTATAAAGCTGAATGAGGAGGCCAGTCTACTAAACTGTGGATCAGAAAGGAAAATTGAGGAAACTTTTTTTTTGTATGTCGGATTACTGACACGATCCTTAAAATACATTCAAAGGAAACTCATCTTCCAAATCATGTGTGCCTACATGAGATATGAGGCCCATGGTGCAGTGAATATTAAAATTCACTGTCGTGTAATTTGGTAAACAGGCATCAATGTTTCGGAGGATCTGCTGTCCTGTATTCAGGACAGAAGAGTAAAGTAAGTTTGAATACTACAGGACGGTTTCCTTGGGGATGGATATAAGTACTTCGCAAAACTGTACCAATTTATACAGCGCATGACTGAAAACAGTACTGTACAGAATATCCAGAAACAGGAATTATATGAAGAAACGTCCTCAGTATATTCTGCAAATTTAATTTACTCATGATTCAACTTTCTTAGGGGAGCAACATGAACACCGCTTCACGGTGCGTGTCTGAAGATCCCTGGTGGGCAGTCAACACTTCGCAGCAACGGCATGACACTTGCATCAGTATGAGGACCTTCTGCGGACTCGGTTTCTCACATCTGTCAGTCTTTGCTACAGCAACAACCACAAGCAGGCTGGTATGGAGATGTTTTAAACTTGTATTCGTAAGACAGCAGGTAGGAATCTCGGTGGATTAACGGATATCCTGAATGAATTCTTAGGCAAATGCCGAAATACATATATCTTCAAACGGGTTAAGACTCTCCTCTTAATACTAGGGCTATTCGGATAGTAACTTCGGTGAACTGTTAACAAAACAAGCAACGAGGAAAACATATTGTGACGTGCGAAAAGAAACCCTCCGTAAAGGTGTTCCCTATTCAGTCCGAGTGCAGGATATAACAGTCCAACTCCGACAAGAGACCAGTAGTAGAACCCGTGTGGAGGCGGGTTCGAATACC